TGGGGCAGAGTAAGATCACTTGAAAGCCAAATCCGCGTGCTTATTGTACATGACACCTGGGCCGAGGCATGCCCGAACCCGTGAATAATATTGGACTTGTTCTCAAACATCCGCCACGGCTGGTTCCTATGGCGTAGTAGTCGCATTTTGATCCTGTGGAGCCGCAAGGAGTAAACCTTTGTGGGCGCCTGCTTGTACACGAGTGAGGCTTCCTCCATAGCGCGGTCGGGCGACCTGCCGCAACGCGATTTCGACGACTTGGTGACTACTGTGGAGGCTAAACGGCACTGCCACGTAGACTAATCATCTCAAATTAATGAATATCAGACGGCCTTTACGCAAATTCCGAGATGAGTTACATGTCAGACAGCAAAGAATTGAATGTGCTGCGAGACAAACAGCACTATTTGAGCATTGTGGATATTGACAAGGCCAGGCTGCCCGACTCGTTGTCGACAAAAACCGCCTCCTTTCGAAATGAGAGCGGGACAATAATGGGGATACTTCTTATCCAGATTACAGCTCGTCGTGGGATAATGGTATCTGCTCATCTTGAGCAGGTGGCTCTACTATAGGTGTCTCCTCTGCCGGTGGCACCGCTGCCGTCGGCTCTTCTGCGGCGCTCGCACTCTCCGTCTCGCTTGCAGTGAAAGTGGTGTTGATCGTCGTCTTCTTCGGGATCTTCGGTGCTTTGCGCTTGTACAACTTTTGCAGGGCAGTCTCCAGCACCTTGGCCCGGGCCTTCATCTCCGTCGTCTCGATCACAGGGTCCTCGTACGACTTGACTTCGCGCTGCTTCTCGACCCACTCCCCGAGCCACGCCTCGTGCTCCTTCAGTGTCTTCTCCAGCCCGTCCAGCTCATCTTTCGTCCACTTCGACGGCAAACCCGCCTCGGCTTCGGCCGTCAGGTTCTCCCGCGCGTCGAGCAGGAACAGCCGTGTGCTCCAGTTCCACATCTGGCTGCTGTTCAGCGCTTGCGGGAACGCCTCGATCTCCTTGTATCGGTGGATAATAGGGCGCTCGAGAGCTCTGCAGATCCAGTCAGCACACATCTGCAATGATACAGAGGGGCAACGCACTCCAGGGCTATCCGCTGGTCAAGGAGCTGTGACGTCTCAGCCACATCGCCATGCTCATGCAGCCATTCGAACGCCAGGTCCAGCTGGCGCGTGATCTCGGCACGCTCTGACTCCTGCGAACACTGCTTGAAAGGCGTGTCCTTGTTGTCCGGCTCCAGCAGGTCCCGCAGACGATACAGATACCCTTCAAACGTGTTCCGGGCCTCCTCCTTGCGCGCAACGGCAGCCTCGTCCACATCGATCGCACGCAGTCTGCTACGCGCGTTCTTCTTGCGCTCGACCGTCATTGGCGGGATGCTCGGGAACACGACACTCGTGTTGAGGCTGATCGTCTGTTCTGTCGGCACCACTTTCTTGGGTGTCTCCGTCTCAGCCGGGGCAGCGCTGCTCGTCGATGTATCGCGCGGAGGGGTGTTCCCTTCGGTGGACGTGTCCGTTTCAGAGGATGAACTTGTACCGCCAAAGAAGCCTTTGAGCTTGCCAGCGATCGAATCATCTTTGACCTCTCCGAACGCATGGGCGCTCGACACAGAGATGAATCCAGACTCAGACAATGCCAGAGTGGCCTTGACGACAGGATCGACGGCACCCAGCTCGGTCAGATTGGCGATAGCTTCAGAAACACCTTTCAGCTCCACCTCCAGGAAACGGGTCGGGAGACCCCTGCGAAACGTGAAAATACGATTCAACACGCAACAAAGGACACGCACCCAGCGACAGCGTGCTTGTAGTCGAAGTTGATCACAAAGTCCTCCTTGCGCTTGAACGTCAGCGTCTTCTTCGTGCCCACTTTGGAACCGGCGGGGAAGATGCCAGTAGTGATCGTCCGCGGGGTCGAGGCAGTGGCAAGGTACGACGCCTGCACGTCGAAGATGCTGATATCGTTGACCTTAATGTTCTTGGTCTTGAACTGTCGGCTCAGACTGGCACCATGAAGCGCTGCACCCAATACAGCAGCCTCGTCAGCATTCACGTTCAACGCAATCTTGTCGCTGTGGTAATAGTCAGCATATGCATGCATCCACTGAGCAACGCAATACAACGCACTCTCCAACAGCAGCTTTGACTGCGGCCTGGATCATGGGCGTCCTCGTGCTGCCGCCAGTAAGGATGACAGACGTGATGTTTTCCTACCGTATGTCAGTCCAGAAAACGAGAAGTACAAAGCGGGAGCAATTACCAGAGTCAGTCCAGCGTTCTTTAGCGCGTCCGCGATGGGGACCGCAAAGACACCTTTAAGATCTTCGCATGCCTCCTCGAACTGCGCGCGAGAGACCTTGGTCTTGAAGTCGATGTCCCACGCCAGGCTCTCGATCTGCAACCCCATCAGTAAACAATAACGCACAAGAGTAACGAAACGCACGGTCGAGGTGGCCTCGGTGTTAGCGCTCAAGATAGACTTGACACGACCAGCTTCCTTCCAGAGCTTGGCCATGCCGCGCTTGTCGGTCCGCACGTCCTTCTTCGTCTTGGCGTTGAACGTCTCGATGAGGATCTCCCGCAGACGGCGGTCGAGCTCTGCTCCGCCAGTAGACAGATCGTAGCCCACGCCGCCCACAGTGATCTGCGTCCCCGCAGTGCTGTTGACGGTGGAGAACGTGACCAGGGTAGCACGGATCCCGGAAGCGCCGGCATCGTAGATGATGTGCGTTTCGGGGGTGGGGAACGTGCGCGTCATAGCGTAGTTCACGGCCACCGCCGTGCCGTCGTTGATCAGCGCCAGCGTGCGCAGACCCGAGACCTCGATGGCGTCGACGACCGCGTCGCGCTGGTACTGCGAGAAGTACGGCGGGACGGTGACGATCACGTCGCTGACTTTATCCCCCGTGAACGTCTCTGCGAGTTGCTTCACGTATGCGAACTGCATCCCCACGAGCTCCTCAACGGACCACTCGTTGCCGTCCGACTGCCTGAACCCGACGGTCCCCCGAGATGTCTTGAGCACTTCCGTCGTCGATATCGACTCATAGAAGGCCACCGCATCGCTGTCGAACGGGACCCCCTGGAGAGGTTTTATCAGAGAGAACGAGTCGAGGGGGAAGCGCGACGCCTGGCGGGGGTGCGTCAGTCAGTCCGATCGTGGGCAGGGACAACGGGCGGACGCACGAGATTAAACGCATCTCCCCCGAACAGTCGAGTGTCTTTCTTCCACCCCACGGAGGCTTGTATTTTCCGTTTGGAGTCCTTGTTTAGCAGCACGTCGAACGGGATGCCAGGGCTCATCACCGACGCCTTCATCCAGTCCGTGCCATAGTCTATAGCGAGCACGGAGGCGTGTGCGGTGTGCGGGAGAAGAGAAAGAAGGGAGGCGGCACTGGCCAGTGATAGTATACGCATGGTGGAGGAGAGAGGATTATGGGGATCTACTTATTGCACGAGGTGCTGAGGCATAAGAGAGTTTTTGGCAAGTTTGGTACGTGGCATCAACGCACAGCCACACGAGGGATTGTGAGAATTGACTAAGCACTTGCTTTTCCCAATGGGCTGATTCGACACTGGTGCGTGGGAGCTTTGAAAACATAGCAGGCTTGGATGAATTGGCTGAAGAGAGGTGCCGTTGCAGAAATGCGGCGTGTAATGCACGACCTCCAAAGTCAGCGAGCCACGTTGACACTAAAACGCGATCACATGATTGTATGGTAGGCGTGATCAATGATAGCCGAAGACGGGTTGGCCTTGACTGGGAATCCACCACTCAATTCTCGCTCAGTTACACCCAAAATTTTATTATCTTCCCAGTATTCACACCAGCCATGTAGAGTTCCATGCGACATCCAAGGCTGCTTCCCAATTATCAAATCGTATGAAATACTGAGCCAGCTTCACCCTTAGATGATCATTATTCAGTCCTGTCGACGCGTTTCTTGACTGCGGCCATGAATACTCGAGTTAGAGTCGTTTCACGAGACGAAGAGCTCAAGCTGTCGCCCAGACTCGGTTTATCAAGATTCTCGTAGGCTTCAACATCTTCCTCAGTTAGCGAGCTGAGCTTCGAGGAAAACGGGCGGATCGAAGGAAAGCTACACGCCGGAGTCTCGAAGACTTTGGGATAGTTGTGCAAAGACTTCAAAGGTCGCCTGGCTGCGCTGTCCGGGCCAGCCAGGATGGCTCAAACCTGAGCCGTGAGAAACGGGAAGCGATCGACTCAAGCGAGGCGCGTACATCAAATGCGCTCACTCTTTTCTTCTTCGTTCAATATGGCAATCTCTCTCGCCGATTAGATCGTGATCAGGATGGGGTCATCAGCTCGGGCTCCGTACAGACAAGAGGAAGACAGACTTCCTGACTACTGCCGGTAACGGCAAGTATGGCCAACATTCGACTGGACGAACTGGGGTGATTTCAAGGAACCACCGAGCTCGCCCATTTAGACTATGTCTGAATTCAGATCTCCCTGCACGTGGAAACCAGACGCGGTCTTCACAGCATTATTATGTCTCTCCCATCTGTGAATATTCAGCGCTATCCCGGCACCCATGGGATATCCTGAATGAGCCGTGGGGGACTCCGCACCTTGCTTAGACTCCCATCGGGGTTTCGCAATCCGTTTATCAATGTCTTGAAACTCATAGAATAATAGTCCAGACGAATCATGCGAGCGCCGCAGCACTGTCTAGAAATTGCGTTGTCCTCATCCGTAGCGTCCGTGATAACACTACCTTTGGGGATATCATGGCCGGATTCGCAAATCGCTGTGTCCGAGAATGGCCTCCGGTGACGGGACGGGTAGGAGGCAGTTGGCCGTGAGTAAGTAGCTCTATTGGCTAAGTTTGGAGACGAGGGGACATCCGGGTAAGACATACATAGCGCACAAGAAGATGGACGCGGGCAAACACCAAGGGCATCCGACCCTGTCGCTCTCTATACGCGGTGTGTGTGCAAGGCCTTGACCAGATGTAGATCATAACTTCATTTCTGCATCGCACAGAGGTACGCCGATTCGTCGTTTTTAAACGTCCATTTGTAGGTAGGTAATTGACAGACACTTATGAATACAATATCATTAACAAATCATGCGCACATCTCCCTAGTCATTGCCATGTTTTCCATGACTTTCCTTGTCGTGATCAATAGTTGCCCCCGTACGTCGTCCTCGTCGAAGATCGGCGACGCGCAGTAACACATCTGCATAAGAGTTAGAGCTTTTTCGAAGCGAACAGTCAGGCCAGACTCACGCAAAGCAGGTCGTGATGGACGCCAGCAGCAGCACAATCGTGGCCGCAAGCACCATCCAGATCGCGTTCTCGAACGAAGCTTGGCCACCGTTGCTGTTAACATGGTGCCTGACGATCTGCAGCGCCGTCAGCCAAAGCGGCAGTATCCAGCCAGATGACGCACCCCAAAGATGACCCAGTCGACGATCATCGCAGCCAGCGACACGATGAACGCGATGAACGCGACGAACGCGGCGACGATATACCCGAGGCGGTGGGAGCACAGCGCCAGCAAGAACGCAATGCCGGCAATGCCAGCGGCAATGGGATGCAGAATGAGCGCCTGCGTCGCACCGTGCAGTGTAGACGCCTGGCCCCCGCTTAACGGGCTAATGCCCAACGCCGAGATTTCGTTCGCTACGGCGCGCTGTCAGGTCAAGCACAAGAACGATGACCGTGCGCACGTACCAATGCGGTACCCGATCTGCGCTGCGGTGCAACTCTTTCCGCCCCGTCCGTCCAGCACGCAGAACCCAAACGTGCCAAAGCGGATAGACGCCCCTGCCGCGTCCGTCAAATTACAGCCAGACTCGTCGAGAACGCACGCACCATTATTGGAAGAAGCACTGAGGAAGTCGATCTGGCTGAAGGTCGGTGCGGATATGCTCGCCACGATGAGCAGCGCCATCGCAGAGAAGATCAAGAATGTCCCGATATGCAGCGAAAACATCGTGAGCAGTGGGTGGGTTGGTGATACAAAGGCAGAGCCAACAGGTGTCGGGGTGGGTGTCTTAGACTGAGTCCCGGAGGTACCACGGGCATACTTTATACATAACGGAGCTGCGCATGGCTGTGGTCATCATCGGTAGTTCAGAAGTGGAGCCGCAGAAACTAAGGGAGCCGGATGACGTATTTACTGATGAGACAAGCATGGGCAAGTTTCGCCACAGCCACACGTCAATTTATCTTGATGTACGACCTCCTGAGCCATGCCTGCGCGAGATGGATCGCGCCGTTAGATTATTTATGGCATTTTATACCAGCAGTTTCATCTCAAAGCGTCTTATTAAAGTTCTCTCGGAGACGGAGGTCTACAGAGGCGCTGACGTCAACTGATGATTGTCTCCCACGCGAGAAATGATCGCTTCCATTGCATTTTCCGGGAATCCAGAGACCGACTGTCGGTCAGGCCCGATGAGAGGAAATACGCGGTCTTCAGATGAGGCACATGTATTTGCACATGCATGAATCCCGATGCAGTGGGAGTGACGAGCACGTGCAGACTTTTGTACGAGACGCGCCCCATGTCAATCGAAGTGGATGGAGGCAATGACTTTCAGGCGGAACGTAGACCAGATACACAGATGGTAATACTTAAAAACTACAGAGTCAAAAGACCCCGTTCAAGTAGACACTGAACTGCGCGGAGGAGCGTTCACAACATTGCGGACCCCAATCAGCTCACAAAACTTGACCGTCTGCGCATTGGTGTACCACGCCGCTAGAAGCCAATCAGTCACCAACCACACGTCGCGCAGAAGCGGGATCACACTCACGCTGGGACCTCCGCCCGCCCATCTGCTCCTCCATCCCGGGGCCTGGGGCCGTCATCGCGAACTCCTGCACCGATCCCACCTCCAAGTCGTCGATGCTCAGCCCAGGCTCGCGCGCAGCCAGCTCCGCGACGATCGCCGCGCGCGCCTCCTCCACCTGCTTCCGAGCGAGTTCTTCCGAGGGGAAACCGGGCTGCTGGCGGTCCAGCGAAAGAAGCGGGTGGAAGGCGCGCGAGATCGCTAGCCACTCAGGGTCGAACGTCAGCCTCGGCGGGCCGGGGCCCTGGACCGTGTCCTCGATTTCCACAACTTCGAGGAACTTGCGCTTCGCTCCGCATTTGTCAAGCGCAAGGAAGCGGGTGACGCGTGGGGGAGGTGGTATCGGTTGGGCCTCTGATGGTTCTCCAGGCGGGGGATCAGCAGCGGGTGGAGGATTCGCTTCCTCGTCGTCTTCGTCATCCTCAATCACGATCTCGTTCGGGTCGCGCTCGACAGGCTGTGCCGGTTTCCCACCGTGATGCACTGCCGCCTCGAAGCGCGTGTGCAGGTGAGCGGAGAACCACCATCGAGGCTGCAATGTGCCGAGCAAATGCCTGAGCGGCGGCGAGCCCAGTCTCCCCGTCTTGATGTCCTCTGCAAAGAACGACTTGTCCCGGAGAAGCCGCTGCAGGTCCCCGTGGTCGGTTATGGACTGCGGCCAGTCGTGTGACAGCACGACGTCCGGGTGGGGAGACAGCTACTTGACATGATCTGTGAGCGGAGGCCTAAGGGGACACGAAAGACACACCAGAGAGAGTTTTCGGATGGCGTACTCTCGAGTGTGGTATACACTCCGGATCGAACTCCGGTCGTAGGGCACAGTCTCGTAGTGACCTACATAAGAGGCATGAGCGAAACGCGTCGACCAAGATCAACGATCAGCGCACCCTGCTTGAATGATCCCCGGTTGAAGATTCCCGACGCGCCAGCGATCCGCAACCCATTCACCCGAACACAGCCAGCCTCTCCAAGATAATACATATTCGGCGCCAACCACCCGCCATGGTACAGCTCCCACATGTAGTTTGACGCCTCGTGGTTCCCTCCGATGACGAGCGTCAGGATTGGCGCTTGCCGCTCCCCGGTGTAGTACTGGTGGAACTCGCCAAGCGCCTTGTACTTGTCGGGGACCGCCATACACTGCAGATCCTGGTGATTGCGGATGGCCTGGAAGTCGCCACAGATGAGCAGCATGTCGACTTTGTAGCCATTGGTCGTCTCGAGGTGGTTTATTCGCTCGTAGATCGTGTTGAGCTCACCGTGGCAGCAGCCCTGGATCGCGACCCTCATTTGTGTGCGAGACCGTCCGCCAGGTTGTGCAGGGAGAGGTGGCGGTGTGATTGCGGGACTTGCCGGAAGGATTTTCATCTTGTCACAAATGGCCTGAGATTCTGACGCCTCTCACATCGGCTCTCCCTTTCTTGAAAAATGGGCCAGAAGACACCACATAGTCTCCTGATTCGCGCTGTAAAGCCCGCGACTTCAGGATGATATATTTTGCATCCGCTGCTGTCTCGGAGTTGAATAGGGTCGCCTTCACCCTATATAATACCACTATCCTGCATTTCTCTATCACACCAAACTCCGGTCTCTTGCCCTTGTCTCTCAATCTTCAGCGGCACACCGTGACGTCTCAAACTGCCATGATCTTTTCTCGCTTCTCACCCACCAAGGCCCTCCGTCGTCGCATCCACCGGCGCTCCGTCGGCATGTCTGGCGCCGACCAGGATGCGGATTCGATCGAGCAGCTTTTCGTCGAGCATGCCGAGGTCAGTCAGCCTTCCCTGCAGCTCTACCTCCCTCGTCGTTTTGTTGATTCGGTCGCCAGATGACCCCGCCATCCACCGATGCTCCGCAGGATGTCTTCGAGGCCAACAGCCCTTTTGGGTTCTCCAATGCCACTCCTCAAGCCGAAAATGCCTACAAGTCCCGCATACACCTCCAAGGCTCAAGGTACCGACTCAACCGCGACCGTCATCTGGCTGGCCGACCCGCGATCGTCCCTGGCATGAGACGCTCCGCCGAGCCCCACAGCGCCCGAACGGCGGACCGCCTGGTTCATCGCTCAACGCGGTGCTCTATCCGACCTTCTTCGCTCCGACACATCCTGGCCCTTGCGGAACCTGCGATCGGTGAACCGGATGCGGCAGAGACGCCATGGCTTCCGACCGCCGAAGACGAGACTATCCTTGCATCTCCCGCACCTTCTCAGCCAGACACCGCCAGCACGTCCACTAGGAGCCAGCCGCTGCCGTCGCCTGCTCGAGAACCGTTCTCTTCGTTGCTTCCTCAGGAGCCGCATTACATCGCGAAGCCAACGCCAAAACGCATAAAAGAGTTGCAGCGGTTGCGATTCTTCGACAAGGAAAACGTTCACCGATCTTTTATCGGTGGAATGCGAAGGCCCCTGTCCTGATTACAGGTTGCGTCAAGGATTCGCTGTCAGGTTATCAACTGACGCCTTGCTTTCTGTATCATAATTTTGGTGCGCACATTGGATGACCCTGCGTTCGAATCACTTAAATTCGCATCCGTGCAGCCGCTTTCTTCTCCCGTGTTTCAGCTTAGAATATAGACCTTTAGACATAGAATTGGGGATATCCCATAATGTACCGTGCCACCTCGCAGTGCATCCGTCATCCAAGGTGTTTCGAGGACGTAGATTGTTCCCTCCATCACATCAGTGCATTCAGGATGACTGTCTCAAATATGTTAAGCTTGTTCTAGTTCTTTCCAGGACCCATTTTCCCGTCGGTTCGATGGTGTAGTTGGTTATCACTTCTGTCTAACATTTGGAACTTGTCTCCGAGTTGTTCACAGGCGGTCCTCAGTTCGAACCTGGGTCGAATCACTTTTGCCGTTCGCACCTTTGAAACTGTCCCAGCCTCGTGCTCATTTCAATCGACTGATGACATCACCTGGCCCTCCCTGTACTACCTGCAGTGCTGATCTCCATTCCCGAATGAGAGACACGAAGGTGACGTTTGTCCTGATGACGTTTCGAAAGGTCCTCACTTTACCGCCCTCAGTAAAATCGCCTCGGTGGGACCCCGCCAATGAGCACGAGATGTTACTTCCACAATGCTGAGTATTATTGTGGTATAGAACACGAACTGACCCGTCTCGCTCGAACTGGTACAGACGACTCGAAGAGCTCGCATATCAATGACGACCATTTGGAAATAAATGGAAACAAACCAGCGGCGGTACAGTTTTGGCGTGCAAGCACGATGAACCGTGGCAAATCAGATTTCGGGGCATTTGCTTTGTCAATTCACGGGACAGAGTGCTAGTGACTTCCTGATACCTGATAGGTCAGAGCCGTGTCTGATAATCCTTCTGAGAGCATAGATCACAATTGGATGATGGACCGTGAGAAATCAACGGCGAGCAGGATGATCACATTCTCAGATCGTTCTGGAACCAGCGATCCGACTATGCTACGGGAGATGCTCTGTTGCTAAAGTTCATCCTTCAGGATTTCCCTGGCCATGCCCCCCGCAATCGCCACCCCGCGCTCCTCCTCGTCCAAATCCTCCTCAGAAACCAATGCCGATCTGGATCGTATAAACATTGCTGTGCCGGGTCTGAACACCGTGAAACGAGCACTCACTCGAGTCTCGAAATATAATTTCCATCGAGTTCCAGGTCCAGTGCAGGTCCGACATACCTAGACGCATCAAGTGCTCAGCCATCGGAAACGCAAGTGCACAGGCGACGACTCACAGCTTATTCCTGAGCATGAACTGCAAAAAATTCCTCCAAAATGGATCCTGCTTGAGTATGGATCCATTTCCAACGACGACCAGAAGCTCCTTTGCGCGAGTAATGGCCACGTTCATTCTTGAGGCGGCCCGTCAGCAACGGCGCGAATAACATGCCCAAACACACATACCTCTTCCGCTCCCGTACGAGCCCCAGCCCTCGAGCCAAATCGTCTTTGAGGAAACGCGTACTGCTACGCACGCACGAAATGATGCAAACACGCATCTCCCGGCCCTGATAGTCTTCGACAGTGCCAACATCAACGGCACTCAGCCCCGCTTTCCTCAACCGCTCACGAATCTTCCACACTTGCTCGCGGAAGGCAGCCATCACACCGATTTCGGCAGCATGGAGCGGCGGTGTGCAGGACGCGGATTCCGAGAGCAGTGCAACAATCAAGCGAACTGTGTGGTCGATTTCGCCAGGGTTATACCACGATGCGCGCTGCAAGAAAAAGAGTCAAACTATTGCAAGTAGACAGATTGAGAAATTTGCACATACATCATCGACGCAAGACTCCTCGGTCTCGGTCCCAACGAACAAAAGTGGGAAACGTTGATTGGGGAGACCAGACCACGTGATCGTTCCATTTCGGGCACAGGGTATCAGCGCATCGTCGTAGAATATAGCTGATGGAGGCATGAGAATCGCAGGATGACTTCGATAATTCTGCACATTGCCATGATTAATTTGAACCAACAAGAAAAATGAAACACTCACGCGGATGAGATTGGCGTAAGGCCGGAACGCCGTGGAACTTCGAGGCCGTCCATCGCGATTTTTCCCGTATACCGAGCGATCAAAGAGTCGTTGGAGAAGGGAGACATCCATTTCTTGCTCCCGGGCAGCATCCGCAGCTACGATTGGGCCCACTGCAAAGATGTTGTGTACGAGGTCTTGCGAATAACAGAGCCGCACACGCACATTGATTCGGGTCACCGCATAGGACGAGCTGGGGCATGGCACTGGTCTGTGGCCGAATCGAACCGAATACCAACCCGCCGGGCATGACAACAGACGACGTGTCCTCGACAGAGGCTTCTCCGGGAAGGACGACAGAGATCGGAATAAGCAGTTCGGGTTCGGCAGCTTGGGCAGCCTGTACAAAATTCGTCAAAATCTTCACAACACCTTGATAGACTCTCAAATCAAGCACCTCATCGATAAGCAAATGTGTCCAATGCGGTAGAACTGGTTTTGCCGATTGTTTTCGTGGACGTAAGCATCCCATGAGCTGGGTTTCCAGTCGTGCGAGTGCAAAATTGGTACAATGCGCATCGATCAGAATCCCAGCATCAACACAAGATGTGACGACAACACGATATTTGAGTAGAACATCCCAGCTCGGAAGGGCAAATTTGTCGTCTTCGATATCTGTGAATGATCCGTCAGCTGGACGAAAAAATGGAATGCAGCAAGGACACACAGCAATATTGTCGAATATTCAAGGCGACCTCTGCAAACGTTCTATAGTCGTTGTGAGAAAACGAGACGCAAAAAGAAAAGACACTCGCCGATTGGGATCATTCAACCGCAACATTTCATTCGGCTGCAACGTAGATTTCAGGCGCGACACCAATGTATCCGTCGCAGGGTTCGACGGCGCACACAACAGTATACACGCTTCGGGGTGATTTCGCAGTATCTGGAGCACAGCCTCAACCATCGTTCTGGTCTTGCCTGTCCCAGGGGGGCCGTGAATCAGGAATGGCACAGGAGACTCGTGTAGAACGATCGACGAAACAGCAAGCTTCAGAAACTCAATCCTCAACGAATACAGACAAACAATGCAACTCACTTTCTGCTCAGCGTTCAACCCACCATCGGTCCAACTCTCCTGCGTCAGATGTTTCTGCACGAGATCCATTTCCGAATGAACCAGATCGTCCTCATGCGGGAACAGCCATCGCCGGGCAGCCCTTCGCCGGTGTGTGTCAAATGGAGCCGACATTGCCTGATGTAACACCAAAGCCGCGTTATCCATCAGAACCGCCGGACGGGCTGTGGGTATGAAAGAGATGTTGAACACGAGAGGAAGAATATCTTCCGGGGTGAAAATGATTTTGCCCCCCGGCTTTATTTGCCGCGCAGGATGAATCGGAGCAATACAGCATTCAATGTGTAGTTTGAGTCCGGGACAAAAGAAGTGAATCAGGCCTTCCCGTTTGCGAAGCGCAACAACGCGCCCTGCAAGAAAGTCGGAGAGATTGATGACAGGGTGAACATCACCAACCTTCGAATGCGATCCCACTCCCGATCTTTTGCCCTTCCAAGATTTCCCGCAATAGGATGACATCTCCAATTTCCAGTCGGGGCGAATTTTCTCGAATGCTCGGAACGACCAAAATGAATTCGGCTTGGTCCCAAGCACCGATCTTGACCCCCACCTTCCACAACACGATCTGTTCCTTCTCGACTGCGAGCTTGTGAAGCTCCCATGAAAGAAGCGCTGCCCAGTGTTGGTGATAAGACCCGGTGGTAAGGGCCGGCGCTGTAGCCGGAGGCGCATTAGATAAAATAGAAGACGGAGTTAGTGATGAGGTAGAAGTGATCGAGTCGGTGACAGAAGTAGGAAAGAATGCTCTGATGTAGGTTACACTAGGAAAAGGTGGTATCGGGGGCAGAGTCTTAAGGTGATGAGGTTGTTTTTGAATTTTTTGTAGATACACAGGGACGAAGACGTCGGCCTGCAAATCGGATCAGAAATGGATCGGGACAAGCGGACACCACGCACATATTTGTCAAGCAATTTGTCATTTTCTAACATTGTGTTTTCTGATGTTTTTCCGTTTATATGATTTTCCTGCACGGCGCGACGCACAGTCAGCTGATTGACTGACTAGTGAACATGAAGCACTGCCTACGTTGATTCCGGGAGTAGATGATGGTACAGCAGAGGAGATGGGCGAAGAAAGAGAGGTTTCAAACAGAATAGTATGATTAGGAGGTGTGGGCTTGAGAGGATCGTCCGACGGAGCCGTGATGGGAATCCCGCGGGATGGAGTCTTCTGTTTTTGGAGAAGACTTGGCGATGTGGCACAGCCTGGAAAAGGTGCGAATCGACCCTTCCAGAAGTCATGAACCAGATCGTCCTCCACCGGTGGCAGGTTGACGCCTGGAGTGTTCACGAGCGTCGTAGAAGGTGAGGGTGGGAAGTATGTTTCGCTCGTTGCGGTCGCTGTAGGCGACATTGGAAAGGCCCCGAGGTTTGGAGGCGGCTGGGACACAAACCACCCATCAGGACGCGGGTGGAATGCGGGGATGTTCCCGGACATAGGGATGTTCCATGGTGGGGGGTAGTACGGATTCATAACGGGCGGATGCGCCTGAACGATGATGCCGGGCGGACCATTGGCGTATTGGGGAAGAGGTGGACCTGATGGCCTTCTGCGGTAGGAAGGATGCGGATGCCCTGCCATAAGGGGCGGCGGCGGGCCTCCGAATTGCATCCTGGCACGCGGCGCTCAATGACAGCAGAGGTGAAAGAACATGAGTCTGTCACCCGTGACGGGTGACGACGGAAATCGGCATGTATTGTCATTGACAGATCACCCATGATCCGTCTAGGCTTAACTTATGATCCGCCGCCTTTCAAGTCCTACACCGTCTGTCTCCGTCTGTCTGTCTCAAAACAGGACGATAGATCAGAGATGGGGATACAGAGGTGGTCATCGGAATGTTTGAACAATTATGCCGGTACCTAGTCCTTCGTCTGCGTCACTTCTACAGGATGGCAGAATGTAACCACTCCAAGTACTTCGCCGAACCCGAACCTGGCTGTGAGCTGCTTCGAGCTCCCTGTGGAAAAACGTAGAGAGACTCTTGAAAATGAAAGAATTGACTGACTGACCCTCGGTCTCTTCCAGCTTCGATACGTCAAGCAATAGATCAATAACAATCACCAATCCCAGAAAGGCAAGATCATTTCCAAAAGGGTTATGACATTGACAAGCAACTGGAATCACTGATCAAGAATTCGAGATCGAATATCTTCCTCACTCTCACTCGCATCAAACTATCAATTCAGTCCACTTCTCAGATGCAGCAAACGCGCCAGAGGTTCACTTACGTCCCCCCTAGTTCAAATCCCCCTACAGCAAGTGACTCGCGGCCACTGACATCTGCTCGACCTACGACCGCGCAATCACGCGCCGGCACATATGCATCGCGACCCACGACGCGTCCAGGAACCGGAAGACCAGGCACTGGTCGGCCTGGAACAGCGCGTCCAACTACCGCCGCCTCAGCGATTGGCGGCGACTCTCACAAATCGAGCCATGTCATCGCATTGCTCGAAGGTCGGGGAGTTGCGAGGGAAGTTGGTATTGCAGCGCTCGATCGGGACACGGGAAGGGTGATGCTAGTGCAGGTTCGTTCCGTTGCTGATGTCTGGTGTGTCGCAACAGTATTGAAAAAGACGCCCTAAGCTTTCTGATTGCCCGACGTATGTGAAGACGTTGCACCAGATGCATCTCCACCCACCGATGATGGTGCTCGTCCCCGATACTTTTCTTTCTGCCACCGACGCGGCACCAAATTCCCTTCTTGTGGAGTACATCTACGAGGAGTTTCCGGGCGTGCCTGTCGAGCCTATTGGAAGGAAGTACTGGAACGAAGCGGGAGGTAGGTCATTGACAAAGATCGAAGTCGGTCTCCTGCTGAGCATTTCCTAGGACTTGAATTCATCTCACAACTTTGCGTCGAAAACGATGAACGTGCCGGAACGCTATTGGCGGTTGCCAACAAGTGAGGACACGCATATATGCATCAATCTATTTCGTGACACCCTCCTTCAGGTACTACGCGCTCTCTGCAGCCTGTGCGCTCTTCAAGCATGCCGAGACGAAGCTCAACACTCGCTTTGCGTCGGGATCTCTGCTCATCCGATACGTTCCTGTCGAGGGCACAATGATGATCGATCCCGACACGGCCAGAAATCTGGAATTGGTGGACAACATGTCGCGCAAGAAGTCGACGCACTCCTTGTTTGGGTAAACCGACATCGCACAACATGCAACGACAGTAGCTGATGGTATGGATAGCACTCTGCACCATTCTTACACGGCGATGGCCACCAGACTGCTAAGAGTTAACATCCTTTCTCCCATCACATGCAAGTCGCTCTTACAACCCTTTTTACGGTCCGCATTTGACGGTCCGCTAGCGCAAACCACAATAGATGCGCGACTGGACGTCGTCGAGGAGTTCGTTCAGTCCGAAGAACGATTCACCGAAGTACGCGCGGCACTGAAGCCGCTGAACAAGATGGACTTCGACAAACTCATTGCTTCCCTCGTCGCTTCGGAGACGAAGCAGAGCAATGCAGCAAAGTACGCGTCCACTCGCGTCTCGCAGATGCTTGAGCTACGCAATGCGGTGAGAACCCTGCCCATGGTGCATAGCGCGCTGCAGGGGAGTCAAGCACAGTTGCTGAGAATCATCCACGAGGTGGGGTTCGTTCGCTGGCCCTCCCGCATCTACTGAACAAAGCGAAAGATGCTTTCAGATGACAGAATAAAACGCATCGAGCAACTGGTCTGCGCGAGCTTGAACGAAGACAGCACTCCTGCCAAGGGCGGGATCGGAGCAGTCAACGCTCGAGTGTATGCAGTCAAGGCCAACTGCAATCGGCTGCTGGACGTCGCGCGCGAGACATACAAAGAGAATGTCGGTGACATCTTCACGCTGAGCCGCAATCTGTCCGATGCGCATGAATTGCCACTCGGACTGACGTATCAAGAGGGGGGATTCGTATTCACCCTCAAAAAGAGTGATCTGGGGGAGGGAGGGGCCCTGCCCAAAGGATTCGTTAATGCACAGATCAAAAAGGGAAAGTGGGTATTCGAATCTATGGATCTGGTATGCCATGTTGAGTGGCCCGGATCTGAGCTGATTGTGGCGAGCAGAAGAAGATGAACGCCCGGATGAAAGACGCACTGGACGAGACTCTGATTTTGAGCGAGAAGATTATCGAAGACCTCGTGAGCGACATCCTGCTCGATGTCGGTGCTCTATACAAGGCGTCTGAGGCCGTTGCATTGCTGGATATGCTCTGGTCGTTTGCACATACTTCAATCAGTATGACCCGGCCTGGATCGACAATAATGCTTACTAAACCCAGCCAAAGTGCGAAACTATGTCCGACCAGAATTCACCGGCACCCTCGCAATCAAGTCTGGCCGACATCCTATTCTGGAGACTATCGCATCAGCTGGGACACTGGTGCCTAATGATGTGTACTGCGATGACTCGTCCGCGTTCCAGATCGTGCAGGGGCCCAAGTGAGTGGTTCTCTGCGCAATGAGACTTGATGACGAAGTCTGCCAGCATGTCAGGGAAGAGCACATATCTCAGGCAGGTCGCACTACTCACCGTGATGGCGATGTGCGGTTGCTTCGTGCCAGCTGAATATGCCAGCTTCCGGTAAGCGCCTGTCTTCTGGCATCGAAAGTCATGTTCAAACGCACGACCACTAGCCTTCACGACACATTACTCAGCCGACTTTCCAACGATGACGATATGGAAAAGAGTCTGAGTACATTCGCGAATGAGATGGCCACGTCAGCCATGATTCTGGGTCTGGCAACGTCGAAATCGCTAGTGATTGTGGATGAACTTGGTCGAGGAACGTCTCCGCGCGAAGGGGTTGGAATCTCGCATGCCATTGCAGAGGCCTTGATTGAAAGTAGGGCGTTTGTCTTCTTCGCGACGTCAGTCATAGTTCGGCTTGCGTCTTGTCCTCGTCGCTCAGCCCACACCGTTAAGGCACTTTCACGAGCTGACGACAACGCTGTCAAGGAAACCTTCAGTCATTAAGTAAGCGTTTTGTGACGGTCAAGGAGGACATTACTCACAATGCGTAGTCTGCACTTGTCTGTCCAGGTGTGTACTGACAGACCGCCATGGTGTCTTGGAGTTCACACAAAGACAACAGCGGAGCACGAAATCTGGCTTTGGAGTCACATTTCAGTACAAGTGAGTCTTGGCTCTTCATCTATCCCCGTTTACTATCTTCCTGGTAGAATTGTCGATGGCGCGCCGCCCGACTCGAATCACTACGGCCTAGAGCTCGCCCGACTGGCTGATCTCCCAGAAGAAGTACTGATGGAAGGAAAGCGCGTTGCCGAGCGTTTGGCTGCCCTCCACATCAAACATGAAGGACAGAGCGAGAGCGGTCGAATTGCGGTCAGACGCAAAGCGCTACTGAGAGTGAGTTCGCTATTCTCGAGCGAATGCGAGATCGACTAGAGCCATGACAGTTACGCACACAATTGACTCAGGCGTATGAGCATTCTGCCCTGAGCGACCTCGACCTCGTTGCATACATTGCTCGTTTCCAGGTCGACATCACCAAAGCTTTCATCCATCCATCCCCAGCTTGCTGAGTAAAGTCCGGCCCGGAGAATGACTAATTGGTCCAGGACGATTAGGAGTTGTATGAGGAAGTACGAGATACGGCATCATTGACTATCGAAGGACCGTGGACATTACAAGAGCAGACCCATAGCTGTATTTGGATGATATTTGGCGTCATGATCATGGAGTCACAATCAATCTCAACTTTCTCTCTTTTAAAACGCGTTGAAATCTTTGTTTTATTCAAGGACACGAAGCGTGGTCGTGTTATCAGCCTGGAAATATTATCTATCACGGAGCACTGCTTGATATCCAGAATGATATGGCTTCTCTTACGAGAGCCAATCTCGACTCGAGTTCGATGTCCCAACTTCCAAGCACTCTCCCCCCTCCCTGGCCCCGTCCGAAAACATAGACCGCGTTCGACGCCTTTGTACAATCTCCATAATAGTTCTGGGGAACTCGCACTTCTGACTTGGGTGGCTCAACTCGGGGGTCGATCCCAGAACGACGATAACGCAAGCTGCGTCGCCAATCCCACAACGCGTCGAATGCGTGCGCAGCTAAGGTACCGCCTGTGAGATGTCGAATGATTCTTCGAGCGCAACTGGGGGAGCGAAGCTGGGAGGCGCTCCCTCAGGTCTACGCCTATTGCAGAGGCGAGAGCAGTTGTTGCAAATGAATATCAGACCCAGGGTTGTGACCCTTACTCATCGGTTTCAATTTCCTCCCGAATGAGATAGAGAGACGCCGGGGGAGAGCGTGAGTAGGAATGGGGAGTGGCCATGCTTCGATGGTGGTGCCGCCGGCACCGGCGTGACCTCCTGCGGGGAGCGGTAGCGGGCGCAGTCGAGGGCTTGGGTATCGGTGCGTAAAACTGCGCAGATGTCGTATCATCAAGATCAAGGTCGAGGTCCAAGTCTGTTTCAAGGTCCAAATCGAGATCGAGGTTGGATGCGTTTGAGGAACGGTGGGCCGGCCGCTGAGAGTGGATTGGAATAGTGGATGTAGGGGCGAACTAGAAGAAATGAGCACGATCCACTGGTGCATACGAAACGAAGAACATACGAATGTCATTCGGACTGCGCTCGATCTAATCCAAGCAGCGACGCGGTCGGCGCACTCCTGCTGATTCTCTATCTCCTGCCGCTGCACCGAGTCAACTGCAATGTCGGAATCATTCAAGTCAAGAGGCCCTCCACGATAAAGCTTGTGCGGATTAGGTTTGGGGACTGAGTTTGGAAGAGCGGGCACGTCGCCGCATGCGTAACGATCAAAGTCGAAGGTAGGTGAAGTTGTGTAGGAGAGCATAGGATAGGGTAGGGACGAAGAAATGTTGGCCCTAGTGCTAACGGAGAGAAAGACTGTCAGCAGCAGCCTGCATCTGGCCTTATAAAGAAGGCTGCGCAGCCGCCGCAGCGGGTGGGGTGAGTTGGCCCGGAGCTGATTGATGCGGAGTCATGGCCGGCTTGTCAATCAGTCAGTAAGCAATGCTGTGCGGGCGTGGGCGGGTTTACACGTGCTATGACGTCAGAGGTCACTCCTTCCTAATCTGATCGGCTCTAGAACCTCGCCGAACTTTCTCCCGTTTTCCACCACCGACGATGACCATCTTGACATCATCGCCGGTGGTGTATATAATCTGCGGCTTATCCACGCCACCTTTCTCAGATTCACTGTTATCACAATCTACCACTCGTACATCTTCTCACCCACAACACTCTATCACCTGAAGATGTTCTACTACCCAAGACAACAAGGCGGTTACGGAGGCTATGGCGCGCATGACCCCTATGCGGTGGCTCGGCAACGCGAGCTCCAACGTCAGCAACTTCTGGCGCAGGAGCGCGAACGTCAACGTCTGGCGCACATCCAGCGCCAGCGCCAGTATGAGGCTCTCGAACGCGAACGCCTCTCCCACCAGTACTCGCCTTACGGACCGTCAACCGATCAATATGATCCCGATTACGAAGAAAACGAGGATGAGGACGACTCGGAAGTCTACCAATACCTGACTCCTCGTCAGCGTGCTATGATGCAGGCGAAACGTCGTCAGTTAGTTATGGAGGACCAGCGTAGGGTCAGTTTCCCTGCCAGCTTACAGCATAGTCGTGGAGATGCTGACGAAGATTCACAGGCTCAAGTCCAAGCCCAGCGGCAGGCGGATGCGCAGCGACAGCGCGCGGCTTCGCAGTCTCCGCAGCGCCCAACTGTGCCCGAGGACGCTTCCATTCCCATTCCCAGCGATGCCGCGCCTATGACATCCCCTGAAACCACTCCATCTCCCCCGCCACATCTTTCCCCCACTGCCTCCACCTCTTCCTCCAAAACCACCTTCTCTGCTGAGCAGCGCGAGGAGGCGGCATCCACCATCCAACGCGCATTCCGCGTTTATCGCGCTCTTCGTACCATCTCCGATTTCGAAATGCGCTTTGAGGCTATAAGGCGTGAGTTTTGTCCACCTACGACGCTCGAGTACATTGTCGACGGCCAAGTCGTCTCTGTGCCCGTTCCACAGGTTCTATCTGCCATTCGATCGGACGCGGTTCCATCGGACGACGTGGAGCAAGAGGCTGCGCGCACACCGAAACTCGCCTACACCGCTCCTTCACGTCCTATACATGGCCACCTCGACGCTCTCTCTAAACTTCTCATCGCACTAGACGGCGTCGAGAGCTTCGGCGACAAGCATGTCCGGGAGCGGCGCAAGTCTGTGGTCGGACGCGTGGAGCAAGAGGCACGGGCTGTGGAGATTTGGGTTCGAGATGTTTGGGCTTCGCAGCTTCAGTCCGATGTGACGCAGGAGGAGGATGAAGTCCGCGATATGGTCGTTGACCCCGCTCACTCCGCTGAAGACCAGGAAGATGAGGATGACGACGCAGAGTTCGTCACACCGCCCGGGACTCCAGCGACCGAGCCACTGCCTCTCGTTGGCGACGACGACTTCGTGATGATATAGAGCCAGAAGTGATCTGTTATCGGTTTCATTGGTTGTCTACCACACATGTACAATATACACAATGCCTCATATATTCTTCATCTTATGTAAAAATTTCAATCCCACTCTGATTTAATGATTTGTATTCCATACACACGTCCTTCGACTGCACCAATACGGATTCTGCCGAGATTCGGACAAGACTAGGCTGAATGTGAAGTGCACCTGCAACGTTAAGACTAGGACGATACAGGCTTGGTCCCAGCTGGCTTGAAATGGTAATTCAGAGTCAATTGCGGACCCTTTACATCCAGATGAGGCGGACTGGACCTGGGCAGCGAGTGTTCAGCTTTCGACCAAAGAGGCTGGAGCGCTTCAGCTTTCGCTCTGAACTCGGCCTCACGAGTTTGAATCAGCCGTATCTCCCAGTCTGGCAGCTGCCTCCTCTCTAGGAAGATCGGCTCCGTGTAGCGATAAAAGTCCATTGGATCTGACTCCGCTGGACTGTTAGGGAGCCGCTTGAGTGCGAAGTCGACCGCAGGCTGAGCCCCTTGACGTTTCTTCTCCACTCGCTTCGTCGTCTTCAGTATACAAAGCGGCTCGAACGGAACTTCCATCCCTTCCGAGGGCCGGACCGCGTTCTCATTTACACCATGTTGAGTGAGCGAGAGTATTGTCTTGACGCGCAGCATGTACGGATGGCCTGATGTCTTGTCGCCGCGGACGAGAGTGACCACACCACTGCCTTGGGACTCTAGTCAGTCACAACGGCCAGCACCATAAACATTGTGAATCACCAGTGAAAGGACTCTTAGGCTTGCCCCGCTTGTTGTACCACGGATGAGTCACCATCACTGGCACCGGCGGATAGCCCGGGGGCAGAAGATATATTCTCGAGTACTCCGTCTGCCAGTCAACCGGCCAGCTCTGCCCAAATGCCGAGACCCAGTTGGAGTCCCGTATAACGTCGAGGTTCACCAAGGCCTTCTGCAGATGCGGCGGAGCGAACCCATCACGAACAAGAATCCCAAGGAGCTGATCCTGATAATGCGCGCGCGTGGCGATCTCGTCTATGGGGATAGCCCAAGGAAGTCCGTGAGGCATGAGCAGATCCTTTCCTTGCAGAAATCCATCGCGAGTCGGGGTGTCGGTCACTCGGAAACGGAGCCCTCCGTTGATCGGCGATTCTTTCGCAGGGGAGTGATAATAAAAGAACCCCCGCAGGTCCTCCGGCCACGGAATGTGGCTCGTAACGAGCTGTTGTCCAAACTGCCGCATGTGGGGATCCATTTTCTGGTCTCGTGCAATGCGACGGTATAGATTGATGTCGGCGAGCGCGGATTTAGAGATGTCGATGAAGTGGCGGTCTGTAATATTCTGAGGGTGAAATGTGTCGATGTTTTCGGGTAGCTGTTTGGAACGTTATGCCGTGGCCCGCTCCGTTCTTGAGTGTTTGAGTACCTTGAATTTCTGGATCACGTTGGGAGACTTGGCCTTGAGGACCGGACTCGACCAGCGGTACATGATTTCGTTGACATAGAAAGCCCGACGCTGGCATGTTGATGCGCTGTAAAGCGCGTGCAGAGCGCGCCGCTTGCAAATGGGCGAGCGCGTAAAAAGGTGCACCAAGAAAGTCATTCGTGACCAGAGTACCAAGCACGACCACGTGATCAAGCGTCCTTGATGGGATCAGCAACGGTTTCCCTCAGTGCCACCACCTAACTCAACTAGAAAGTGTTGGCTCTGCCAACATTATGCCTTGCTTGCTAATTAAATCCATATGATCAAATTTATATACAATAAAACAAGTAAAATACCAGTGCAGTTGTAACTAAGCGCCAGATGCTCTCGTCTTCTTCTTCAGGCTCTTGTCCATATCAGGCATTGCCGGCAGAAAACTAGATGAGGCAAGACAACATCATGCAGTGTACGCGCTTGTGTGCGCAATGGTGGCATGTGAAGCAGCGCTGTTAGAGAGTGACACAAGCAGAAACAAAAACAGCCCACAGGTGGGTGCAAACTGCAAAAGAGAGTCATCATCATGCATGGAACTATAAATTACACTGCTTTGCCGCGCTATAATGCCAGCAACAGCAGGGAGCGTAAGTACAAAGATAAGAGTGAAGAGTGAATGAGACCATGACATACTCAAGACGAAGGTAAAATTGATCGGATCAGATGCTGGAGCAGAGTCCTCTGATTGATGTCATCATTGATGGGATCTGATTGATGCACGAATTTAGGGTCTGGAGAAGCCTTGACAAGCAAGGCAACTCCATATCCAATCGAAGTCTGAGACAGTGTATCACAGTGTTGTAGAAGATACGCTCGTATTATTTATTACACGAGAAATTGCCCATGACTCACGCTGAAGCTGAAAGTGCGGCAAGATTGGGTTGACTTTTCCCAGACCATGTCGAGGTCAGGAACCAGATACACATGAGTGGGTGCAATGGCCAGTTCTTTCTTTTCCGGGCCTCCGGTACAAAGCAGGATCGAAAGGCCGTTGAATGTGGTTGGACCAGGTTTCAACTCTACCCAGTTGCAGCTTAGTAATTCGGATCAAGGTCCGAAAGAAATCGGACTGGTGGTCATCTTTCCAGCTGTTTCTGGTTACTCTGTGCCTTGGCTAGCTATGTCGGGCAGCCATGCACCGAGGTCCCACCGCGGTCTGAAGACGGCATATGACTATCTCCCAGTCAATCTACATCCTCGCGCCGGCCGACAGAGTTTGGGAGACGCTACTCGACTTCAAAGCGTACAAGGAATGGTGAGTACGGGGCTCTAATTTGCGCCCCAACCTTCTATACCCCATCCCTTTGCTACTAATTTGCATCATTCGGCAGGAACTCTTTTGTGTCAGTTCGTTCCATGAAGCAGCACCAGCCAATGCCTGACACACGCCCTCGGTCTTAGCGACCGAGTCGAGTTTGTTTCTGACCAGCGAAGCACCGAGCCCAGTGCCGACCAAACCCCCGCCGTTGGCCGCAAGATGGTCATCTACCCCGTCAACCTGTCCTCCATCACCGCGACGATGCATACGCTCGACCCCGCGAACTTCCGCGTCGCATGGGAGACGGTTCCCGTTCTGCCCAAGTGGGCCCTGCACGCGGACCGGTGGCAGACGCTGACGCGGGAGGAGGTAGATGGGGAAATGATGACCAAGTACCAGAGCTTTGAGGTCTTCAGCGGCGTCCTGGCGTACATCATCCGCTGGTTCTTGAAGAAGCAGTTGAATGATGGGGTCAGATCCATGGCGGAGGCTCTCAAGACTCGGTCGGAGGGAATTTAGACGAAGAACGAGGTCGCAGCTGGTGATGCGGGAATTGGGCTCGCATCTCTTCCGAAAGTTGTTTGAGTCGACATTCCTCAGAGACCAGGGCAAGTCTTTCACTGTCGAGGGCAGTGCTCTTGGTCGGATATTGTTTGTCGGTCTTGCACGCGTAGACTCCTGAAGAACTGCGAGTCTCGCGTGCCGCCATTGAATCAAGTTTTTCGATTACCTTCTCTGCGCTTTGCACGTCTCATTCTGTCGCGTTTGCATCCAGACTCAGACCGTCTCCAAATTGTTTGGTGGGCGAGCTAGTAAACACCCAAGGAACTCTCTGACGCTCAGTGGCCATTATCGGCTTAATGTTGGGTCCTGCATGCTACACAACTGTTTCTCACCTAATTTTCATAAGCGGACATGTCAATCCGCATTGTTCACATTGGTAATACAGTTGGTTGCGATACTTGGGCCATTTGAAGCACATTTTTACACGGCATAAGCTGGAGACTCGTAATGCACCTTTTCCTCCGTCTCGTTCCCTGGTAGGCGTACCCTGGACTCGGCAATTCTTCCGATTCTTGGGCATAGAAACTGGGCAGGCGAGTGCCCATATGGAACATGTTGGTCTCGACTTCAGAGGCTTGATTCATCGACTGCCCTCGGCTTCGCTTAGATCGAATCCGGGACGGAGTGCGAGTCAGTCCCTCTTGTATGCTGGACGCAGCGTCGTTGGACCCGCGCTCGTGAGTGATGGTGCGAGAGTTGAGCGTCGCTAGGAAGGACACAGCATACACTGTCTCAGCGAGTCAGGACGGATACTACTCTCGGCACAGGATGAATGAATACATACGCTTGGAGAGAAGGAAGTAACAAGCCGCAAAGATGAAGCTATGTTGGACGAAATCGAACTGAGCACGTCACACGTCAATGGCGAGGAGAACGACTGGATGAGATGGACGCACAGCGAATAGCGTGGCAGCGCTGACAACGGAGGTGAGCACGCCCGTGCTGATCGCCCCCATGACCAGTCGCCGCACTAGCGAATCCGAGCTGTGGTGCCCTGTCCGCATCCGAGACAGATAGAAAATCAAGCAGAGGGCAATGACAATGTCCGTCAAGACACCCAGACTAAGCGCCACCGTGACGATCTCCTGCAGGTCAAACACAGCCGTGATAGACTCGAGAGTGAAAGCGTGCACAGCAAACACTGGGAACTCCCTTCAGCACAGACTAAGCATCGCGTATCAAGGACTCGCACCCAGGAGACAGCGAAATCAGCGAACGCAAGAAGGAGCTGGGGGACTCAGTTCCGGGTGTGCGGTAGCTGGAACGAGGGATCGACGTACAATGAAGGCCGTGATCCAGATGTTCTTGTCGCTGAATCGATAGACCCTGCTGGCAAAGGCGCTGTTCGGACTCATGAGGGTGTGTTCCATGGCGACTGACATCGTGACTACAAACACTTCAAGCGTGCCCGTGAACGAGCCGATAATCTC